TCGGCTCTAGCGTATGTCTCGCCGCTCTTCTTCCCAAACCGACACATGATCGGAAAGCTCTCCAAGAACAGCACAACTACAATGGAAAAGCGCGCTGCGGGTTTCATTTATAGCCTGCCGGCGGGCCGTGCCCGGCTATCTGATTGGCTGACGGAGCCCCAGCCAATCAGAAAGCATCACTAGAATCACCTCATTTGCATACACGTGACGGCTCGCTGTCCAATCAGATGTCGCTGCCGCGCGCGTCATCTCAGCCCGTGTCTATAAATACGACCCTTGTTGCCTTCAGGCGCTCTCCCCTTGTTCGGTGCTGGTTGGAGCCGTTGAAGCCGAGCACCTACCATGCCGGAGCTGACCTCTAAGGGCGCTACTGTCTCCAAGAAGGGCTTCAAGAAAGCCGTCACTAAGACGCAGAAGAAGGAGGGGAAGAAACGCAAGCGGTGCCGCAAAGAGAGCTATTCGATTTACATCTACAAGGTGTTGAAGCAGGTACACCCCGACACCGGCATCTCGTCCAAAGCCATGAGCATCATGAACTCGTTCGTCACTGACATCTTCGAGCGCATCGCGGGCGAGGCGTCGCGCCTGGCGCATTACAACAAGCGCTCGACCATCACGTCGCGGGAGATCCAGACGGCCGTGCGCCTGCTGCTGCCCGGGGAGCTGGCCAAGCACGCCGTGTCCGAGGGCACCAAGGCCGTCACCAAGTACACCAGCTCCAAGTGAGTCCCTCTGCAGCCACCCTTTAACCCAAAGGCTCTTTTCAGAGCCACTTAATTCATAAAAGAAAGAGCTTGCTCACTTTGCCTATCTCTTTTGTGTGTGGTGGGATGCGTCTGGGGACATCTTGAAAAGCAGCATTTAACTGTAGGTTTGTGTTAGCTGTGGCATCTGTTCAGACGAAGAGAAGTTTGCATTTTTCTAGAATTTCTACTGTTCAAACTTTTCGCACATAACTCCTCCCAGTCTTGACTGGATAGCTTCAACATCTGAAAATTTCAAGGAGGGCAACAATTCGCCAGGGAAATCACGAAAGGCGAGGGAGCAGGGCCGTGACCAGGCAGAATTTGAACTAGATGTGGTTGTGACAGGCCTCAGCTGACCTCCCTGGGGTGTCCAGCAATGTCCTGAGCTGAGCCTGGCAGGGAGGGCAGGCCTCCCATCACCCAGTCTTGGGTTTGAGCTGCCCCCAGGGGTGGGAGTAACTTTGAGCAAGGTGACTCCTGCTGAGGGTTCCAGAGACCAACCCAGCTGTGAGCCATGTTAGTCCCCATGTCCATCCTTCCGGAAGCACATTCTTCTCGGGTTTCCACTGAGGTAGGAGATCTATTCTTTTTTTGTTTCACAATCACCTGACAAGCCAGTCACTGAGCTCATTACAATTGAGAAATGTAACATCATATCCAAATAATATGTAACCTGGACAAGCATTGAGTCTGCTCTGCGGCTTCATTGTCATAGCACCGGCCCGGAAAGAGGAGGTTGGGGGTTCAGGCCTCAGCCGGGCCTCCTGGCTGCTTTTCCTGGTCCAAACCTCTAAAAGGAGAGATTTTCTCTAGGTGACTAGGAACCAACCTGAATGCACACGGAATGCAACCTCCGATGCTCAGACTTCACACCGCTTAGGAGGACAGGGGTAGAAGGCTGAGCGGTGTCCTTCGTACAGACACTAAGAGTCGTTTAGGACTCAGAATACTTGCCTCCACGTTGTGGTATTAGCAGTAGAGAGGGAGCCATGCTCAGCTGAGGTTTGCCCCTTCATCTTGCCATTTGAGATCAAGGGACAGAGATTCAACAGATCCCAAAACAAGTCCTTTCGGGTATGTTTGCTGTGTCTGGTTGCCGAGAGAGATTTCATTGTCTTTGCAACCTCAGAACCCTCAGCACACTTGGAATGGATTTGGCATGCAATAATTTTTTCACGATGGACCATTGAATGACTAATGGTCTTTCTAATTTCAAAGTAATATGTAGAAACATTCATCGATGATCTCTGAGGGACCATGGAGAGTGTGCCGAAGCCCATGGGCCGTGGTGGAGAGGCTAAGTCCTCTACCTTTGAATCTTCCCAGCTACTTACTATATCTCCTAGTAAACCTGCAATTTCCCTTGCTTTTTCATTCTTAGCCCTATTCTAAAGGCAGGAAAGTAAGAGAGGAAAAAAGAAAAGAAAGGGTTAAAACTCGTAATTTAAACTTTAAGATAAGTGCTGTGATTTGCCTACTTTTTAAATGGTGCTGGACTATAGGACATCTCAGAAATGTGTGTAAAGAAGAGACTACGGTGTTGTCTTAGAAGCACAGTGGGTAGTGATAAAACAAGGAATGTAGCAGGAGACTAGAGGCGAATGGAAAATCATTTCGTGGTCTAAAGTCTTCGGCTGTTTTCTGGACAGATTTTTACATAAGAGGCCTGAAAAAAATATCAAACCCTGAAAATTAAAGGATTTCTGTTTTATCTGCTCTGTTTATTTTGTCCCTCTAAGATAGATCTTAAAATTATTTCCGTCTCTACAAGTGCCTACTCCCCCATCCTTAGTGATGAGCACAGAATTCTGCAAGCGATGGGTTGCATCCTGAGCAGCTTCTTGCTCTTCACGATAATGGTCCAGATCAGTTCCTTCTTTGCTGAGCATCTGAAGACTGACATTTCTTTAGAATGGAATTGCACGTAATCACTGCTAACATGTACCTCCAGAAGAGCTGAGTTCGTGACTGTGCCCAATGATGAAAGATTACAGAACAACCTAAAAAGTCCTGGACACTCTCAGTTGTGTCTTTGCTAAAGGGGCTTCTCTTTAATTGAAATACTATTTCTTTCCTGACCTGCATTGTTAGTTATTCAAACCTCCTCCCTGGTAAACGTTCCCTGGCTTGGAACCCTCAGATGGGCAGCTCCTTCGTGCTCTTTACGTAGGCCTACCATTGTCTAGGCCAGCCCTGCGGTTCTTCCTTCATGTCCGGGTGTTCATCGTCAACCATGAGCACCGGATAAAGTTTGGTGAATTGACTTAAAAGAAATGTCCCTGAAAAGGAGAGAGGAAAGGCATGGTGATGGTAGAAAATGTTGGGGAAAGAGAAATGGCCGGAAGAGTCTCCACGTGGTTGTCCAACCAGGGAGCATTAGACGTGTGAAGTGAATGAGATCGTGACTGCACCATGGATAACGACTCAGCTGACATCGATCCCACTGGAAACGTGTGGTTAGACTTGACCCCTCGCACTGCCTTGCCCACTATCAAAACATCTCAAAGCCAAGCTGATTTTGCCTTCAATGTATGTGAAATGCTTTTCCTTTGTGTTCTCCTATTGCCCCCTGTGGGGATCTTCAATGCCTCTTCCTCACCACAGTCCGCAACAGCCCCCTCCTGTTCTCAGGACTGGCCCTCTGAAGCCATTCTCAGCATAGCA